GGCCAGCAACCATTATTAATTATACAAAAGTTCATTCTGTCGACGTATTCATTTTCTAGTCTCAAACTCAACTCAGTTTGTTCCAAATAATATAATCTCATAAATCATATTTTCAACTCATCTAATGTCAGTATTCCGAAACTCTATCATTTTAAAATGTCGCCATTTTATAAAATAATTTAGTATCAATAGCAAGCATTTTAACGTGTTTCAGCTTCTATGTTACCCCATAAAACTGTTGAGAAACACTTAGTTTTAGAAGTGATGGTATTGCGGCAGAGTCGGACTACTTTCAAAGTTATAGATTCCTACAAAAGTGCTTTTATGAAGATAGGATTTCTCACGTATAGTTTGGATAAATCGGGATGTTCTGGCTAAGAAGCTTCTTCCATCGATTATAAACGCCAAATTTCAAAGGAGTTTTGAGTTACTGATTTGATGGTATATATACATGGTACTCCACCTAAATCAAAGAATTTCAATCAATAATAAACTTTTCTTATTCGTTAAATTGAAAAACTAGGTCACGTGGATCTTCATCTAAACGAACCACTTTTCTTATTTTTTTACAATGACCAATATTAGGTACACGACATTATCAGGTATATAGTTTTCGGGATGCTAGTCAAACATAAACCTGACTGAAGTCAATGTCAGCTGGTTCATCTTCAATTGAAATATATAAATTGTAGTAAATAAATTACAATATATTTGTTACACTCTGGTACATGAAGTTGATGAATTCAACAATTAGTCATGAAGAAAAAAAATTAAATCTAAAAACTGTACGAAGGGTACTTTCCCCAACAATAAAAAAGTTGGGAAATTATCATCGAAGTGACAATATGGTTATAAAAACAATATTATGATTGGAATCATTTCAATAAGGTAATTTCATTAAAGCAATAGAAAGCAGTTATGAAATGATCTTGAAATAGTTATATGAAGATTATATAAACCTCATAGAAAAGAGCTATGAAACTGGTACAAAACAATTCATTTATTCATAGGAAAATATTTTTTATAAGTTAGTTGTGAAAATGTTTCTGTGATAATTTCGTTACTAGTTCATAACTATTTTTAATTCAATTCTATGAACATAACTATAACATTTTCAAGAGCATTTTCAAACATTGACTAACAGCGTTCGGGACTTGGGTGTGTTGTTTGATAGCAAAGTAACCTTTAAAGGCCATATTGATCACATTATATCTAAATCACTCAAATTATTGGGATTTGTTCAACGATCCATAGATAAATTTTCTATAAACACCTTCAAAATATTGTACTGTTCTTTGGTACGCTCGGTCTTGGAAAATAATTGCGTGATATGGAGCCCTCTATATCAGACAGATATGTCTATAATTGAGTAAGTACAAAACAAATTTCTGAGATCATGTGCACTTAAGCTCGGATATCTGAGACTATGAGTACTCAGACATTCTGCTTCTTCTGAATTTATCTACTTTGGAGCAGAGCCGAGCTGAAATTGATCTAAGACTTCTTCATAAAGTTATGAATGGTGATATGAACTGTTCATTTGTAACATAAATGATCAACTTCAATGTAAATTCAGGAAGAACCAGAGTGTCGGAGTTGTTTAAAGTTCCCTAGCTATGGCTCAAATAAAACCAGCACTAGAATGCTCAGTTTAGCTAATAAGAATAGCAGCTATATTGATTGTATAATGTTCATTGTATTATGGCAAGTACGTAAAGGAATAAATAAATAAATTTCTATGATGAATATGTATAAAACACTTTCATTGCCTACAACTGCATTACATTTTGGCTGTAATTATAAAATACCAACAAAATAAAACTGTTGCAGCACCATGAAATTATTGAACAATTTCGCTGATTGGGATGTTTCGTGGGAGCGTAGACCGTTATTGTTATTATCATCATTAGTGACTGTTTCTATTTTGACATCAATTTCCTCCGTTTCAAAAATCATTTGCATTGACTTCCAGCGATTGTTTATTCATTATGTGGAATAAAACGATCAACTAAAACGACTTACGTAGAGTACAGTGCCGTCCGTTCCATCCTTGAGAACACACGCAAGTCCCGTTGCGGCACTGACCGTGCTCTTGACACCTCACGTCACAGGGTAGTTGTTCACAGCGGGATCCCGTCCAGCCGGGCTCGCAGCGACATTTCCCGGTGTCACACTGACCGTGCGGGCCGCAGTCCAAATTACACAGCGCTGAAACAATAGGGATAGTTAATTTATCATTCTTTCGGTTCTCGCCTCGCCGGACATTGTTTTACGACGGGAACATTATTCCGTTGAAGGGATGAGAAATGGTTGAGATCGGTATCTGTCGGAGATGTTGAAGGGTGGTGGATTATCAACAGTACAATCTAGAATCGGGTTAAGATCCAGCACACGTGAATGTTGCTGTAGTGAAAGCTCGTTTCGCTTATATTTTTGTGTTTGGGAGGATTTTATGGGCTGGAATCCATGAAATAGAGGGTTGAAGTTGACTGAAATTTCATTTATGCATACTGGAATGGAAAAGACATCAAGATTGAACAGAATTTGCTGAAAAATTCTTTAATTTCAATACAATACAGCGCCCTCTTGTCGCCAAGAGGGCGACAACACCGGTGTTGTGATTTCTCGATTAATATTTCATCCAACATTTTCAAATTTTGAAAATCAGATCAGCCATTCTTGAGTAATAACAATTCTATATTCGCTTAAAATATCTGCTAACAACAACAGCATTACTAATGAAACGTTTGTTACTAGTTTTTTCTACAACTTCTTNTGAAACGTTTGTTACTAGTTTCTTCTACAAATTCTTCTGTGATATCAGTAGCAAACTATTCAAAAAAAACTACACAAGATATCATCAAAACAAAGTTGCCTCACAACATTCCTGTTGAAACTGACAGAAAGTAAAATTGTTGATATAATCAGAACACTCAGAAATTAGAAGTTGGCATGACTAGACAACATTTAATCAGAATGACTGGAAGAAATTGAGAATGGATTCAATATATTCCTGACCTGCACGACAAAATCTGTCTTTCATGAAAAACTGATCTCTCCTAAAAATATACCCTTTTCAATTTGATCGGAAACATATTATACAACCCAGGATAATGTTCACAAGATTTTTTGTTGCTACAATTTTGCTTGTGTTTGACGGAAACAAAATCGAAATATTCTCAGCTTGAGCAATTATATATTTATTCACAACATACTATTAGTATGCATGAATGTCTAATCAGTTGAAAGCTATCTCACTAATCAGAAGCAGTGCCTTGAGAATGTAGGCAATATCACTGAATTGTGTAGCTTCCATATGGTGTTCCTCGAGGTACTGTTTCAAGGCCATTCCCTCACAGTATATACCTGAACAATTTTTTTACATATGGAGAAAAATGGATGCAGCGAGAATTTTGGATGTGTTTGAGAGAAATCAAATGTAATATGCCAACAAACCTAACAAAACGGCGTTTTTGTATTAAAAGAATCTTCCCAACTACAAAATTAGTTTGAAGATGGTTGAAAATATTTCATGATGAATGTATTCAGCTTGGACTTCCGTTGTCTAATATTATATAAAATGATTTCAAATCGCTGAAAGAACAAATAAAATTGAAGGTTAAATTGATAAGCTGGACATAAAATTGAAAAACATGGTCAGTTTTAGCTTTTGAAATTTTACTTATTTGTATCTCAAAAACAAACATTTCGGAAAAAAAATTTGAAAAAATTGGTGACACTTTGGGGGTGCACAGGGAAAGTAACATCAAGTTTGAATATGTCAACTTATGTTCCCCTATAAACTATTGTTGACGTGTTTTTTTTTCCTGAAAATAATTGTACCAAAAGTTGTTCAGGATGGGTCGTTTTGAATAGAATGCACTGTATATCTCGATAACAATCAGCTTCAGCGTTCTTGAGAAAGTGTTTTTTTTACTCAAATAATGTGTGGGAATTGGGTTTTTTCATGAAAAGTACCAAAAGCTCACTGTCAAAAAAGTTTGGGCAATTTGAAATGAATAATGACAGCATGCGCAGGACCCTCTATTCCTTCATTCAAACATATTCTTCTGTGTGAATCTCAACCGTTATAATGAATCTCAACCATTTTATAGGAGTTTCGGTGAATTTGAATCAAAATACCTTGAGAACACTCCGGTCCTGTCCAGTGCCTGTTACACACGCACTTGGCAGCTTCCAAGTCATATACTCCGTGTTCTGAACATGTCGGCAAACACTTGTGTACTTGTTCATCTATTTTGTTGCAATGTGCTCCCTTCCAACCAGCCTTGCAATAACATTGACCATGAACACATGCTCCGTGCTCTGAACAAGTCGGATCTTCGCAGTCCGGATCTTCACAGCCTTCTCCTGAAATGGAAATGAGAGATTCAATAATTTACAAAATGGAATTTCTGAGTAAATTTATGAGTGTGATATTCAAAGTAAGGCCCGTACCAAAATAAGAGTTAACCATACTTTAGGTGTGTGTGTTGAAATCTCCATCTTGGAGTTCTACAAGGTTCGATTTTAGGGCCGATGACTCCTATTCACTAGAAGTCTAAAATAATGATACGCAACTGAGTTTTTTTTATCTCCTGAAGATGCTGACTCGGTTGGTGAAAGGCGCGTTGAGAACAGTATTACAGATTTGTCTTTGATTTACTTTTGTATATTTTTCAGATTGTGGGAGGTAAAACTCTTCAATGAATGAATGAATGAAATTTTTTTTATCTAATTTCTACTAGTTATTTTATTTTTACGACCGGTGTTGGGTTTTATCCCATTTACAAGTATGAAAACTAACTAATACAATTGAAATCTAAAAGTGTGGTTATGGAGATAGTTTTTAGGTGAGCTAGATGAGATGATAATTGAAAGAACAGAGGAGCCAACTATAAAAATTCAACACTGGAGATTATAGTAATTACCGAGGTTGTCAAATTTATAAATTGAAAGAGTGGAGACCTACATAAATCGAGTTGTTCGTTTATGGTGTTATACATATCTGATTTTTAATTGATTTATTAGTTTCCATGGCTTCGAATAAATTCATTTCATTTCCTTTACCTGGAGTATTCCTTATGACATTGCAATTGTCAATTATTCGATTCCTCGAAACATTATCATCTAGTATAGGAGTGTTATGAAGAAAAGCCTTCAGATGACCCCATAAATGAAAATCAAGAGAATTCATATCCGAACTACGAGCCGGTCAATTTTGAGGTCAAAATGCTGATGAGCAAAAACACTTAAATAAGCCCACTCTGCACGTTTCCTCTTACAAGTACCGTCACTTCTTCTATCAAAATGGGCAAGAGATCTCGCAAAAAGTCCGTGTAGGATTCACCTGTTGATCTTGCTGATAGAATACATGGACAGTTACCAATCATTCCTACCCAAACCAATCATTCCTACCCAATCAGCGAAATGACTTTCTCTGATAACGTGGGAATTTCCGTCGGCCCAAAAATGGCCTTTGTGAAAAAACCTTGTGAAAATTTGCTTCGTCCGTAAAGCAGGTAGTTGTTGGTTCACAGATGAATCAAAAACAACTTCCGATTCATTATATATCACAATTTATTTCAGAAATCTACCTACGGAGTCATCGAAAATCTACTGAAATCTACTGCAATGTATTTGAAGTGGTGTACTCTTTGATTTGAGGTTTGAACAGCACCAACATAGTGAAAATTTGAGTTTTCGACCACTAGGTGGTGCTTGTAAAGACATTTGAATAGCTTCACTGAATCTAGAAGGCCTTGGCCTTCTCACGGGTATGGCCAATTGACGAGTTCTAATACTTGAAATAGCAAGTTGATTTCTTGTTGGTTATTTTGAACAGTTGGACTTTATCAAGTATTTGATTTCAAGGTTCAAAAACAAAAATGTTTCAATGTTTGAAATGGAAATTTTAAGGTTATGTATTATTATTTTCTTCTTCATCCTCCATTCGGAACACGGAGATATTCAGGAATCGTAAAAAGCAATCGGGAAATTGATGTTTCATGATCTGTATCCATTCTGTGTTCTGTGTATAGAAGCGGGCAGAATCTAGAAATAATGAATTCATGTTATTTGCTGTAAATGTCGCCACACACATTAAAATGAAAATTCTATCGCCAAGGCATTTTATCCAAATCTACCAAAATTTACCGGCGAAAATTCATCTACTGCAATTTTTCATTTAGTGTTGAAAATCTGTCGAAAAAGTAGAAATCTACCGCATATGGTCACCCTGACTGAGACTCTACTGGACCTAATAATTTCATTCTAGTTAGGGCTAAATAAGTGTCTTATTGCTTCAAATAACTCTAGAAACCAATCCAAAATCAACCAAATCGGTGTGAGGATATTGATGATATATCATAACATATGTTCATGAGAACTTTTTTCTCGACCTAATTAATTCCCCTCTGAAGTTTCGTACCATAGTTAGGAATCATGCTGTATATTGATTTTGAAATCTAAGGTTGATGAAATATTTGATTTTACTCGGAATAAAAACACACACAGACACAACTCATGCGACGCGACGGAAGGAATTATCGATTATCCTGCACAAAATATATGTCGGGAGGTTCACAACCACTAATCCCGTAACCTCCTCAGAAAAGGGCGAAATCCTCTCAAGGATATTTCCTTACCTTTCCATCCAGGCTTGCAATGGCAGGATCCTCTCACACACTGACCGTGACCCGAGCAATCGGCTACTCTACAGTCGGTTTCTGGAATCTCGCACTCCGGTCCTTTCCACCCCTGCTCGCAGTGGCAGAGGCCGCCTCCATATTGGCCGTGCCCGGAGCACAGGACCGGACAGAGACCTGGAACAATTCAGTTATTCAAATTCCAATGGAATAAATTTACGTACGATCATCCCTTCTGTATACGTTATTATAAAACGTTACGGATTCTGACGGGCTGGATGTGGGTCAGGGAAATTGGGAAGGGGTGAGGGAGTTTTTTACATATTGGGACTAGTGGAATATAGGTTACTTCCAATTTTGCTAAGAATATGTTAACTTCATATTCATATTTGTGATACAAAGAGGACACTGCCTTTTGTTAGAAAGTGAAAGGAAAACCAGGTTTGATTTTAGCAAATTTAATCTGGAATCCTGAATTCGAAGGACTCAATTATATTCAACTTCAAATTGCTCAGAAGTTTCGCGGTTCCCGGCAAAACATTGAGATGCCGTGAAAAACTGATGCCACTCTGCAGGACTCGCTTCACCTTTCCATCTGGCAGGCAAGAGCTCCAACAAAGTGTGTCAGTTTCAGATATATCACAAGTGTCACTGGTTTTTCACCTCAGCCCCCTGTTTGCTTCTCTCGATCCTGTTTACTCAGAAAAATTCAAGGGTCTAACTGTTTCAACATACCTCGTATGTATTAAAACATTAATGAGCCAAAAAAATATTCCATAGCACTCATGCTGTTTCTGATAATGCTCATCCTACTGACAACGATCAGCAAGACAACGATTATATTCTTTGAAGCAGCCACGATAATAGTTTCGATAAATAATAAAATCATTCGAAGAAATCTGATCCTTCAAAATATGTCTCGCATGCATTTTCAATGCGTCTTAAATGTGGGCGGCCAGTATATGAAAATCGAAAATTATAAGAGATACACGATCAGTTGAATTACGAAAAAGTTGCCCATTTCATAGCTCATTCAGATGATGTTTTGAAGTAAAGAAAATAACAATTATTTGTGAGGAACTAGCAAGTTGTCAAAACGGCAAACTTATAATATGTGATTTCTCATTCAGGTCCATACTAAAAAATGAAATTAGTAAAGGTTTCCGTTAGGTGAAACGTCACATTGAAAATCTGTGAAATCACTTATGATTCTTAAAATCCATTTTGTATTTTGATTTTTTTTTGAACAACTTATCAAGGAGGTTACAGCGCCATCTGCCCACGAATAGATCAATCAATAATAATGTCGATAATTCTGTCAATACAGATCCCAAGCTTGGGAGTTACAAGCAAACGTACATACAAGCTTACATGCATACAAACATACATACATACATATAAACAGGTGAAGCTAATATAAAGCATGTAAAAATTGAAAGTGAATTAAGTAAATTTCGGTTCTTTGCGAGATTTTCCGAAACTAATAGGACTTTCCTAAATTTAAAACGTCTCCTGAACGGGCAACTTATTCCTAATTCAACCGCTTTTATCGGTTTCCGATTTTCTACAGCTTGCAAATCTAGAGTAAAGAGATCAGAATTTTTGATTTTGTATCAGACAAGTTTTTACATCCGACTCAAAGTAAATGATTGATTTGAGTAATACTCTTCTGTCGCAAATCTATTCGTTATCAAAAATTATATTATTTCATTTATATGGTTGCTTTCAAATTTGACGAATGAATATTCGAGAATATTGCCAACATGTGTGGAAAAATCTTTTAGAATATGAACGAAATGCAATGAACCAACTGAACCAATTTTGCAATAACGTAAATTTGATTCAGTTGGTAATA